CAACATCATACTGAATGGGAGAAAAGGTGAAGAGAATTCCCTCTAAGAACTGGAACAAGGCAAGGATGCCCACTTTCACCACTCTATTCAACACATTACTGGAAGTCCTAGCTAGAGCAGTCAGGCAAGAGAAAGAAAGGACATTCAAATTGGAAGAGAGTCAAAATGTCTCTGCTGATGATGTGATTGTATACTTAGAAAACCCAAAAGACGACTCCAAAAGACTTCCTAGATTTTATAAATGAATTCAGTAAAGTCTCAGGTTACAAAACTAATATATACAAATCAGTAGCACTGCTGTACACCAACAGCCACTAAGCTGAGAAGCAAATCAAGAACTCAACCCCTTTTATGATAGCTGCAAACAAACAAACAAAACAAAACAAAAACTGGGAATAAACTTAACAAAGGAGGTGAAAGATCTCTACAAGGAAAACTATAAAATACTGCTCAAAGAAATCATAGATGATACAAACAAACAAATATATGTCCCATGTTCAAGTATTGGAAGAATCAATATCACAAAAATGACCATAATACCTAAAGCAATCTACATATTCAATGCAATTCCTATCAAGATACTAACACTGTTTTTGACAGAAATGGAAAAAAATAACCCTAAAATTCATATGGAACCAAAAATGAGCCTGAATAGCCAAAGCAATCCTAAGCAAAAAAAACAAATCCGGAGGCATCACATTACTTGACTTCAAATTACACTCCAAGGCTGTAGTAACCAAAACAGCATGGTACTGATATAAAAGTAGATACAAAGACCAGTGGAACAGAATAGAGAACCCAGAAATAAAGCCAAATACTTAAAACCAGCTGATCTTCAACAAAACTTAAAACATTAATTGGGGAATGGACACCCTGTTCAATAAATGGAGCTGGGAAAACTTAGCCACATGCAGAAGAATGAAACTGTATCCCTGTCTCTCACCATATAAAAAATTAAGGTGAATTAGAGACTTAAATCTAAGACTGAAACCATAAAAATTCTAGAAGAAAACCTAGGAAAAACTCTTCTGGACATTGGCCTAGGCAAAGAATTTATGAGTAAGACCCCCAAAGCAAATGCAACAAAAACAAAAATAAATGGGAGCCAGTTAAATTAAGAAGTTTCTGCATGGCAAAAGAAATAATTATCAGAGTAAACATACAACCCACAGAATGGGAGGAAATATTTGCAAATTATGTATCTGACAAAGGACTAATATTCAGAATCTACAATGAATTCAAACAAATCAACAAGAAAAAAAAAAGCCCGTCAAAAACTGGGCAAGTGACATGAATAAGACATTTCTCAAAAGAATATATACAAGTGACCAAGAAACGTATGAAAAAAATGCTTAACACCAGTAATCTTCAGGGAAATACAAATTCAAACCACAATATGAGATTCTACCTTACCCCAACTGGAGTGACCATTACTAAAAAGTCAAAAAACAATAGGTGTTGGCGTGGATGTGGGGAAAAGGGAATGCTTATACACTGATGGTAGGAATGTAAAGTAGTTACCTCTATGGAAAACAGTATGGAGATTTTTCAAAGAACTAAATGTAGATCTTCCGTTTGATTCAGCAATCCCACTACTGATTATCTCCTCAAAGGAAAAGAAGTTATTATATCAAAAGAAGTCATTATGCACACCTGCATGTGTTTGTTTATTGCAGCGTAGTTAGCAGTTGCAAAGATACGGAAACAAGTGTCCATCAACCAATGAGTAAAGAAAATGTGGTATATATACACCACAGAATGCTACTCAGCCATAAAAAGAATGAAATAATGTCTTTTGCAGCAACTTGGATGGGGCTGCTGGAGGCCAATATTCTAAGTATTAATAACTCAGGAATAGAAAACCAAATACCATATGTTCTCACTTATAAGTGGGAGCTAAACTATGAGTATGCAAAGACACACAGAGTTGTATAACAGACTTTTGAGACTCAGAAGGGGAAATGGTGAGAGATTAAAAAGCCTACATATTGGATACAATGTACACTACTCAGGTGATGAGTGCACTAAAATCAGCTCCTCCATATGTTTTCTTAGATTTATACCGAAGTATTTGATTTTTTTGGTAGGATGAGGTTTACTATTTTAAAAATATTTTCTCTATCTGTTGAGATGATTATATACTTTTTCTTTTTTATTAGCATACTATATTACTTTGATTTTCAAAGTTGAAGCAGGTTTGCATTCCCAGGATAACTCTCACCTGGTTGTGCTGTATTACACTTCATCCTGGTTAAAATGCCATGTGCACCTGAAAAGAACGTGTATTCTGCTGCTGTTGGATAGAATGTTCTATTTAAGTGTTATTTAGATGAACTTAGCTGATAGTTTTTTCTGGGTCTTGTATATCCCTACTGATTGTCTACTTGTTTTATTGAATACTGTGAGTATTTTGAATTATATGGGATAATTATGAGTAATATTGAATACCTTGAATACCTGTTGTTGCAATAGTTACTCTGGACACATCAAAGACTTCAAATTCCTTTATTTTTAGGATGGGCCTGATTTATCAGAGGGTTTTTCTCAGTGCCTGCTTGAACTTCAGTTTCAGGTCCTCCTTTTGTGCTGTGACTCGGATACGTTCTCCTTCCACTCCCTTGTCCGTCTCCCGGTGGTATACTGCAATTACTTGTTGCTCCATGCTTTGTAGTCTGGTGATGAGAGGCAAGTTATGGGTATGTCCTGATTAAGCCTTAGTCTGAGGCAGTTACTGTGCCCCTGGGTTTGGCAGTATGGCCTCCTCAGTGTTCTTGCCCCTCCCCCAGATTTAGAGGGTATGTTTTGTTTTTCTTGCTTTTCCCTTCTTAAAGTTGCCATATGTTTTCACTAGCTCCCCAAGGGAAATGGTGGTTCTACTAGTCCGTTCTCACACTGCTATGAAGAAATACCTGAGACAGAGTAATTTATAAAGGAAAGAGGTTTTATTGACTCACAGTTCCACATTGCTGGGGAGGCCTCAAGAAGCTTACAATCATGGTGGAAGGCAAAGGAGAAGCAGGCACCTTCTTTGCAGGGTGGCAGGACGGAGTAAGTGCAAGCAGGGGAAATGCCAGAGGCTTATAAAACCATCAGATCTCGTGAGAACTCACTGTCACAAGAACAGCATGGAGGAAACCGCCCCTGTGATCTAATTACCTCCACGTGGGGATTATGGGGATTACAATTCAAGATGAGATTTGGGTGGGGACACATCCAAACCCTATCAGTGGTTTTTGCTCTTATTTAAGGCATTATTCCATAGGGTCTCTAGGGGAGAAGGATCTGGGCAGCCTTTCATACATTTCCTGGAGTGGGTGCTGTTCTTTTCCCACTGTACCATAATGACAAAGGATCCTTTCTCTGGACTCTCACCAGTCTTTCTTGTGAGACCAGATGAAGTTCTGAGAAGACCCTGAATAGAAAGTGGGTGTGAATTTCTTTATATCATAGCCCCCTGGGGATTCTGGGTTCCCTTGCTTGCTTACAGTCAGCCTTTACCAATCTCACAATTTGGCCGAAAGTTTTTCACTGGTGACCAGCAGAGTCTGTCCTAGGTGAGCAAGTGCTCATGTATCATTTTAGATTTACATTTGTTTAGTTGGTTGGTCTACAACTCAGGTCTTTGATGGGTTCAAGAAAAGTTATTAGGTACTCTCTCTGAATCTACTCTGGCTTGGAAGGCTGCCCAATTTAAAAAAAAAAAAGTTAATTTGTGGATTATGTAGCATTTATGTTTTTTGTAAGGATGAGAGTGATGCTCTTTCCAGCTTTCTACATCCCAAGAGGAAGCTAGGAGCATTCGTTATTCTTCATTGGGGTTTGAATCATCATTCCTTGCATACTATTTACCAGATTTTGTTTTCTTACATAAAGAGGATTTTTCCATCATGAAATAGATAGAACTATAGTTTCTTTTTAAAAGTCTGGGTAAATAACTCTCTCTTGGATTCCAAGGTTTTAGACTAAGGAGTTAATGTAATAGTTAGCAATAATACTGAGTTTTGAAAAGACCCACTAACAAGCTCATTTGGTAGAAAGAATGCCAGTACCCCAGCGAAACATCCAGTACTCTTTATAGTCATGCATTACATAATGTTTTGCTCAGCAACAGACCACATATGTGACAGTGGTCCCATAACATTATAAAATTATATTTTCACTGTACCTTTGCTATGTTCAGATACACAGATACCATTGCGTTACACTCGCTTATGGTATTCACCACAGAAACATGCTATAGAGGTTCGTAGCCTAGGATTAATAGGCTATACCGTGTAGCCTACATGTGTAGTCGGCTGTGCCCTGTAGGTAGGTTTGTGTAACTACACTTGATAATGACCACACAATGGCAAAATGGCCTAATGATACATTTTTCAGAACATATCCCTGTGGTTAAGTGATGCATGACTGTCCTCTCAAATTTTTCTCTTAGTTAAATAAATTGTAAGGGTAAATTTAAAAATCAAGGTAGCAACTTTTAACCTCAGAATTTGCTATTATCGTATGTCATAATAGTATCTGGCCATAATTACAAGTCCTAAAGATCATGCCAGGAATAATCATGCCTAAGCTGCCTTTGTAGAAAAAATATCGAAATTTCTATTATTTCTAGGGGCTTGAACGTTTACTACTACTAACAGAAATCTTATCTTGTTCTGTTGGCAGTCTCAGCTTTTATAAGTGAGTCCAAGAGGCTGCTGATACCACAATAATAGAAAAATTTTGGAAAGGAGCCATCTTTTTCTTTGAGTCAAAAGGCAGATGCCAACTAGGAACATTAGCTCATTGCATTTTTTTCTCCCCCACCCCCGCATCCCTCCATGTATAATTTGTGCCTTTTTCTTTCTTTTTTTTTTTAAATAGCCTGCCACCAGGTGAACCTGGTGCTGGGTACAAAGCTCTGTCCTTTTCAATTTCTGTCTGCCAGCGTGCAGCATGGGTACTGGTTGAAGCCGGAAATCCTTACTGACATGTGGAGTAACTTGTGCTTCTTTTCTTAGATTCTTCTGAAAGGCAAATGGCAACAATCACACTTTGGCTGTCTTGTGAAAAAATCAAGCAGAATTGTCACCCCCAGCCCTGCACTACACAGTTGGGGTTGCTGCATAGCATATTTGAAACTATGATGGCATATACTACAAAAGTCTTGGCTAGAGAATGAAACTGATTGCTGCTTTGTTTCTTAGTCTCTCGATGTAAAAATCGGGAAAGCCATATTAGAAAAAAATATTTAGATTTCAAATTAATATGTAGTGCTTTGTTAAGAGAACATTTAGTGATCCCTTTGAATCCTGTTTATAAGCATCATCTATTCATAGGAACCAATTGAGATACACTTAAAGTTAAAAAAAAAAGGAGATAATTTATTTAAGTTGTACATTTTTCTTTTTTCTGATGCAACATCAAGGTATGTAAAATTAACGTTTGTCTTATTGTATGGAAATGTTTGTGAAAAATTGGATAAATTATGTTCATGTTCTTTTTATCTTTTATGGTGTGTTACAAAGAAAAAATGATGGGAATTTCAGTGACCTGAGTTTCATTCCTAGCATAACCATTAACTAACTTTATTTGTGCTGTGAGTCACTGAATCTGATCAGATCTCAGTTTTATTTTTATGTTTTTTATAATGAAGGAATTAAATTGGGTATGCTTCAAAGTCTCTTCCAGTTCCATTATTCTGAGGAGAACATAACTTAAAAGAGATGGGAATTTGGGGAGATGTCAGGAATACTGGTGAGTTTTGACATATAAGTCTCAGGGCTTACAGATGAAAGATCTCTGAAAGATACATTCAAACAGCTATACAAAGCAGATCTAACTTGATAAACACATGTATTAGTTGGTAGTACCTTATTCAGTTGCGTGATTATGTGAGCCTTTATTGGCCCAGTGCAGGCATAATGCAATTGGCAATTTTTAACGTATGCAAATTTTCACTGCTGCCTTGCTTGGCATAGCAGAAGCATTACAGCCAGGACAGAGATGTATGACTAATTCTGTGTGACCACTTCTTTTTTTTTTTTTTTTTTTTAAAGTAATTTGGTGTGTTCTCCCCCAGGAAAACTTCCTATGTAATAAAAAAGTACCATCTGCCAGATTGTCTAAAAGCAATTTCAATGCAAAAAAACCCACTTGCTTTAGATTACTGATTCTTACTTGCTGCTCTGTGTATTGAAGGTTTTCATTTCAGTGAATAAAAGTTTGATATTTGAGAATGTGTCTAGATGCAAAATTTTACAACAGATTGTGCTTATATCTGCATTTACGGTGCTATAAGATTGTACTTAGATTGTGCTCATATCTACCTGTACTTTTTCAAATCTATGAAATTAGGTTCCATAATTTAAAATATTAACTAAAGCTCAGCCATTGCTTTAAAAAAGAGAGAGATACATGGAATTTAAATGTTTGGGAAACTGACATTAATAGTTATCTGTGAATTAATTTATATGTAATCTTTTCTCTGCTACCTGCCCTCCATAATAATCATTTATTGAAAGTTATTATTTGGATGCTGATGAGAAGATTTAACAATAAAAGCATAAACAAAACTGTAGTGAATTAATTCTACCCATATCCCCCACAACTGATGGAGACTACGTTTGGGGCTACCAAATCTTAATGATTTCAGAAATATTTCTTTGCACACTCATGATGTTGCTCAGTATCATCATTCATTCTGCTTCTCAACAGAACCTTATTTGAGCCCTTCATATGTGTCAGCATTATAGGCAGCTAAGCACTGTAGGCTATAGAAATGAATAAATCTTGTTCATCACTATCAAGGTAAAAATATTCTTCTTGGCCGGGCGCGGTGGCTCAAGCCTGTAATCCCAGCACTTTGGGAGGCCGAGACGGGCGGATCACGAGGTCAGGAGATCGAGACCATCCTGGCTGACACGGTGAAACCCCGTCTCTACTTTAAAAATACAAAAAACTAGCCGGGCGAGGTGGCGGCGCCTGTAGTCCCAGCTACTCGGGAGGCTGAGGCAGGAGAATGGCGTGAACCCGGGAGGCGGAGCTTGCAGTGAGCTGAGATCCGGCCACTGCACTCCAGCCTGGGCGACAGAGCGAGACTCCGTCTCAAAAAAAAAAAAAAAACAAACAAAAAAAAAACATTCTTCTTTCTGCCAAACGACCAGCGATTTAAACGATCTATTTCAGTTAAGCTAAGCAATATATTAGATTTCGGAAAGAGATATAGTAACTTTTGACTTCAAGTGAGATAATTGCTTTACTTATCAATATGTGACATTCTCTACTTCAGCAACCATGATTCCCTATTATGAGAGAATTTACAGAAAATGAAGTTGATTATAATACAGTGATTTAGATACTCAAGTTATTTATATAATTTTTAGCCTCAGAAGTTTTTGATGTGTATGTTCTGTACTTAATGAGATCACATATAATTGAAGAAAACTTACTTTTTAGGCCTGATTCACAAACTCTTGTCATTTTCATAAAAATGTATTAATTTAGAAAAGATACATCAGACAGTAGCTTTAAAATTGCAATCAATCTTATGTTCTCATTCAACAAAAATTGGCAGTGTGAACAAGTTTTTATACTATGTATCTGTACCAAAAAATAAAACAGTACCCGCTTTTCTGAGCTGCAGACACCAGACTTTGTTTTATAAACTCAATAGTTGATATTTTCAGTGAATAAAATTTTGTTCTCTTTTAATTTGAGCCTTTCTAATTCCTTTCTTTTTTTAACTTTTATTTTAAGTTCAGGGGTACATGTGCAGGAAATGCAGGTTTGTTAAATAGGTAAACGTGTGTCATGGAGGTTTGTTGTACAGATTATTTCACCACCCAGGTATTAAGCGTAGTAATTCGATAGTTATTTTTCCTGATCCTCTTCCTCCTCTTGCCCTCCACCCTCCAATAGGCCCCATTGTGTGTTATTCGTCTCCATGTGTCCATGTGTTCTCATCATTTATCTCTCACTTATAAGTGAGAACATGTAGTATTAAGTTTTCTGTTCCTGCATTAGTTTGCTAAGGATAATGGCCTCCAGCTTCACTCATGTCCTTGCAAAAGACATGATTTTGGTTTTTTTGTGGCTGCATAGTATCCCATGGTATATATGTACCACATTTTCTTTATCCAGTCTATCATTGAAGGGCATTTGGGTTGATACCATGTCTTTGCTATTGTGAATAGTGCTGCCCTGAACATACACATGCATGTGTTTTTATAATAGGATAATTTATATTCCTATGGGTGTATACCCAGTAATGGGATTGCTGGGTCAAATGGTATTTCTGTTTCTAGGTCTTTGAGGAATCGCCACAATGTCTTCCACAATGGCTGAACTAATTTACATTCCCACCAACAGTGTAAAAGCATTCCTTTTTCTCCACAATCTCACCAGCATCTGTTATTTTTTTTTTTTACTTTTTAGTAAGCCATTCTGACCGATGTGAGATGGTATCTCGTGGTTTTGATTTGCATTTCTCTAATGATCAGTTCTGTTGAGCTTTTTTTCATAGATTTTTTGCCACATGTATTTCTTCTTTCGAAAAGTGTCTTTTCATGTCCTTTGCCCACTTTTTAATGGGGTTTTTCTAGTAAAGTTGTTTAAGTTCCTTATAGATGCTGGATATTAGACCTTTATCAGATACATAGTTTGTAAAACTTTTCTCCGATTCTGTAGTTGGTTTACTTTGTTGATAGTTTCTTTTGCTGTGCAGAATCAGAAATGATAAGGGGAATATTGCCACTGACCCCACAGAAGTACAAATGACAATCAGAGAGTATTATAAACACCTCTATGCACATAAATTAGAAAATCTAGGATAAATTGATAAATTCGTGGACATACTCCCTTCCAAGACTGAAGCAGGAAGAAATTGAATCCCTGAAGAGACCAATAACAAGTTCTGAAATTGAAGCAGTAATAAATAGCCTACCAACCATAAAAAGCCCAGGACCAGACGGATTCACAGCTGATTTCTATCAGAGGTACAAAGAAGAGCTGGTACCATTCCTGTTGAAACTATTACCAAAAAAAGAAAGAAAAAAAAAAGGACTCCTTGCTAACTCATTCTGTGAGTCCAGCATCATCCTGATACCAAAATCTGGCAGAGATAACAACAAAAAAAGGAAAACTTTAGGCCAGTATCTTTGATGAACATCAATGCAAAAATCCTGAACAAAATACTGGCAAACCGAATCCAGCAGCACATCAAAAAGCTTATGCATCGGGATCAAGTAGGCTTCATCTGGGGGTGCCAGGCTGGTTCAACATTCACAAATCAATAAACGTAATTCATCACATAAACAGAACTAAAGACAAAAATCACATGATTATCTCAATAGACGCAGAAAAGGCTTTCAATAAAATTCAACATCGCTTCATGTTAAAAACTCTCAATAAACTAAGTATTGAAGAGACATACCTCCAAATAATAGGAGCTGTATATGACAAACCCACAGCCAATATCATACTGAATGAGCAAAAGCTGGAAGCATTCCCTTTGAAAACTGGCACAAGACAAGGAAGCCCTCTCTCACCACTCCTATTCAACATGGTATTGGAAGTTCTGGTGAAATTCCTTCCAGGTTAATGAGTATTAGGTGGTAATGACTATGCTGAGAAGATTCACATAACCCACACAGAACCCTATAAAACATTTTAAATTATTTTCGTTGTTTTAGATTGTGAGGCAGAGGCACAGAGAAATTTAATGACTTTTTCAGGGTCACATTCTAAGTGGTAGATATCAGATTAGAGGGCCAGATGTCTCTATTCCTAGTTGGGACACTTTTTACATTATACAATATTATAGCCTCTTCAGAAAAAGTATATCTAGACTGCTACTGAACTGTCAGTTAAAGCAGAGATTAACATGGTTTTCTTATAAGTCTGTAGCCCACCATGTAATTGTCCCATGTCACTTAGCTAGAGGATGTTTGTATTCTTGGAGTTAGATTGCTGTTGTGATCATCTTTTTTTTTTTTTTTTTTTTTTTTTGAGACGTTGTCTCACACTGTCGCCCAGGCTGGAGTGCAGTGACACGATCTCGGCTCACTGCAAGCTCCGCTTCCTGTGGTTCATGCCATTCTCCTGCCTCAGCCTCCCGAGTAACTGGGACTACAGGCGCCCGCCACCACGCTTGGCTAATATTTTGTATTTTTAGTAGAGACAGGGTTTCACCATGTTAGCCAAGACAGTCTCGATCTCCTGACCTTGTGATCCACCCGCCTCAGCCTCCCAAAGTGCTGGGATTACAGGCGGAAGCCACCGCGCCCGGCCATTGTGATCATCTTGAATTCAGAAAGCTGAAAACTCAGAAGTATGTTTGGCCACCATTGATAAGCTAAATTAAAAAGACTGCATTATTTATAGAGATAACAATGACAATTATCTTACTTTTGTCTTTACCTGTTCATATATGTTTTGCTAAGTTTTTTTTGTTTGGTTGGTTGGTTGGTTTGGATTTTTTTAAGCAAAAATTCCTGAAAAAAAAATTTAAACATTGTTAAATCATTTGCATGGGAAGGAACACCCTCCTTACACAAGAAGCCTGCCTCTCGGGTACTCATAGGACATGTACCCCCAAAAAATGCTTACTACAGACAATCAGAAGTAATCTGCTGGGCTGCCATTGGTTTCTACCAAAATTGTAGCATATACAAGTTTGAAAAGATTTGTTTTTAATATAAATATTGAATTAAGGATATTTGCATTAATTTAAATAGAACTTAATTTGTCTTCAATAGTTTTCCTTTTAGAAAAGAAATGATTCGTAATAGAAAAGAATAAATGTGCTTGCATTAAGTGTGCCTTAAGACATCACAATTTTATGTTGAACTATTGCCCATTCCTCCAGTTACTTATTAGTGGTAATTATTCACATGAAAATTTCCACTGTTGTCTGCTCTGCCTTTCTTAAACAATCTTACTCACAGTTATACACATTGTCCCATCCATTATATTGTGTTGTGTTGCTGGTGAGAAAAACCAAGAGTCATATGTTGGTTTCCATTTATTATACAGTCACAAATAGCTCTCAAAGTGGTCTAGTGTCATCACATGGCAGTTCTCCAATGATTCAGAACTATAATCCTGTTTTACTTAGTTATGGAGAGCCAGATGTCAGAGTCATGTATTTGTGTATCTTCACGAATCTCAATCAGAGGACCAAAGATCTGCTTATGATAGATACCTGGCCCAAATTGTGCAAAGTTATAAAGATTACTATAAATATTAAACTGATTACACTGTAATTATTTGCTTTGGAAAAATTGCAGATGGCCTAAGTGTGCAGTCATAGGAGACAGGTGAAATAAATCATGATATGAGTTGACTCTTGAATCATTGCATTCGGGATTCTTTACAGATCAAACCAGAACAACCCAAAGCCCAGTAGTTTTTAATTTTCAGCTCAGTGAGTCTAAAAGGGAACCACTTGCTTCTGACTAGCGTGATGCTAAAATAAAATGTAGCTAGCATATGGACTTTACAGGAGATAGTGTTTAATAAGTGTACTCTAAAAGTGACATCGATATACAGCACCTACTCTCTTCATTATG